GCATGTGTGTGTTAGCTGCTCGGTCGGGTCCGACTCTTTGCAACACCAAGGACTGTAGCCCACCAGGCTCCCCTGTCCATGGGATTCCCCAGGCAAGAATACCGGAGTAGGTTTCCATTCCTTTCTTCAGGGGATCTTCTTGACCCAGGGATTGAATCCGCGTCTCCTGCCTTGCAGGCAGGCTCTTGACCGTCTGAGCTCTTCAGGGCTCTTAACGGAGCTCTTAACTAGGGAGGCCACAGGCCCTGTATCCCTACATAATTGATCCCCAGTTAAACTCTGGTACCAAGTCTCAGATGAGCTTCCCTGATGGGCAACACTTGACGCATATTGTCACGTTTCACTGATGGGAGAGGTAAGAGCTGTCCTTGGGACTGCACTAAGTGAGGACATCCGGAAGCTCGCGCCGCTTCCTCCTGGTGCTTTCATTCCATGTGCCTTTTCTTCTTCCTTATTTTAATCTGTATCCATTTTCTGTAATAAACCATAATCATGAGCATTATAGCTTTTCTGAATTTTGCTGGTCCTTCAAGCAAATCCAGTCTAAGACTGGTCTTGGGGACCCCTGGCACATGCGCTTTATGCAAACTATATACCCTCAATGAAATTATCTAACCTCATTTAGTTTCACTTTCCTCATCTGTAAAATAATAATACCTGCTTTGCAGTGAAATTCTGGCAGCCAGCCTACACTGTATTTTCTTCACAAGCATAATTAGAAGAGTTACTATAGAAACTCCAGGAAAATGTAAAGTACCAGCACAAAGCATAGGTATTCAACAAAAGTTAGTTCTCTTAAGCAATATTGTTTGTGAGTTCTTATATCTCTCCTCTCTCCCCACCCCTAGATGTAACTGTCTGGACTAGGAGATTTAACTTCAATGAGTACAGTGATGTCCTCTTCCAACCCTTCTGTCCCCCAGGGACATCCTCCTCCTCCTATCAACTGATTACTCTTTATTTTCATCCAAAAATCATTCTCGATGGAGAAGACAGGCGAAGTAGAAGCTTTGCTTGACCTTTATTATTTATTGGCCTCAAGCAGTAAATATATCTCTTTCTTGATCTTCTTTAAAAGTTCCATTTTATTTTCCTGTCTCTGGTATTTTCTTCCTGTGCCCAATAAAACTTTTCTGGCCTTACTCCTACATATTTGTGGTACTTTCTCATATTCATCTTTTATTATCTACCCTTTTAAAAAAATTCTTTGCCTAATTAAAAAAATATTTTATTGCTACATGTTTTTCCTAATTACAAAGAAATGTATAGTCAAAATTAAAATAATTAAAATACTTATTTAAACTTTCTTAGAAGTTCTGCTCTAAAGAAATCACAATGTATTTCTTTTATCTACTTCAGTTCACAGTAGAGATCCTTGTGCTACTGGTTTCTTTAATTATCTTACCATATTCCTCCCTATTAAGACAATTCTTGATGCAATAAACAGAAGGGTTTCTTTCTGGAGAGCTTCCAGCTGTCTCAAATTTCACGCAATGAAACATATCCATCTTTTCTCTAAACTTCAAAAATCTACGCTTTTGTCAAGTCCATGGTATAGATTTGAGCTTTCTCTTTTGAATATCAGGAGCACATTTTAAAATGAAAGACTCAGGTTATATTCTCTGTACGTCCTCATCAAGTACTATTTTCTATGATTCTATCTCTATAGAAAGTGGCACAGATGACCAACAACTGCAGAAACTTTTGTAAAGAATAGCTCTCTCAGGCATTTGTGCTTAAAGCAAGAACCAGAGAAGTGCCCCAGCGATGCAACCAAGGCAGAGCCAGGGACAGATGTGGAATAAAACCTGAAAGTCTTGTCAATTTTTAATTGCTGTTAATTAACAATCCTTCAAGGCACATGGGTAGGTGAGGACAGCATGGAAGCTTGTCTAGAAAGTTGAAGTTTTATATAGCATTAGGTAATCTTATTTTTCTTTGCTTCAGTTCCACACATATAAAATGGAGATTTAAAAATTGAAGCCACATGAGATAAGCTGCAGTGGGAATATACATATTTTTTGTGTCTCTGGGAACTGGTGCTAATTCTCCTCTATCTACACGGTTTCTGCTGAAACTGTCATGTTTATTCATTCCTTTCTTCAGTTACTATTTATTGAGTGCTACATCTGACACTAGCTTAGGTCCTGCAGATACAGCAATGAATAAAACATACAAACATTTCTCACAGAGCTTATGTCCTGATGGAGGAAATAAGACAGTAAGCAAAATAAGTAAATATTTGGTATGTCAGATAAAGCATGCTATGGAGAAAAAGCAAGCAGGAAAAGCAGCAAGGAAAGTGCTGTAGTTGAGGAATGAAATTAGTGAAGTGCTATGTTTGGTAGATGGCCAGAAGTGGCTTCATCCAGGGTATTTTTGGAATTGGATCAAAACAGGATGGTCTGAATCAAGAATGTACAGTAAGGAGGCGGGGGGGGGGGTCTGTTAGAAGCAAAAGAGAAGAACGAAAAAGATACAAGAGAATAGCATGAAAGGAGAATGTGGGGAGAGAGGGACAAAAAGAACCTCCAAGGTTCTGCATAATATTCTGTACACTTCTGATAAACTTTTCCAAAACAAATCCTTCTGATAATTTCCAAGCTGAAATGAATCAGTTTTGGTCACTCTCAAATAAAGAATCCTAACTCACACATATATTAAAATAACTTATAAATGCAATGCTCACCCAAAGTGGGAGCTGTGGTTACTTCAGAAAATTAGAAGTTGGTGCTTCTGATGACAAGAATGAAGATGTGATACAGAGTTGAATTAATTCTCCTGTTCCCTGCATATGCAAAGTCACTTCAGTCGTGTCCAACTCTGTGTGACCCCATGGACTGTAGCCCGCCACGCTCCTCTGTCATGGGATTCTCCAGGCAAGAATACTGGAGTGGGTTGCCATGCCCTTCTCCAGGGGATCTTCCTGACCCAGGGATCGAACCTGCGTCTCTTAGGACTCTGGCACTGATAGGCAGGTTCTTTACCACTACTGCCACCTGGGAGGCCCTCTACTGTTCCCTGGCATCCAGGAAATAAAATGTACAAGAAATACTTATTTTGTTGTTTTCTTTGAATTAAATTACCTCTGATCCTGCATTGGGCCTGTGGAAAATTCAAATGAAAGTGTTATTTTTCACCCCCAGTTATGACCTCCCTCTGCTCCCCCAACCCTAGAGCCACAACAGAATTGGAGAAGCTTACTGATGTCTAGACGACTGGTATAGGCTCTCTAATCTCCACGTCATCATTGTACAAGCCTGCTTTATACTTTCTCTCAAAGTCCCTGGCTCTCTGCTTCTACGCCAAGAAGAGAGAACAGAAACTTTACAAAGGTCGAAGGATGATTTGCTCCCTAAGTTGTAGCCATCCCATCTGAAGTCAAGCAACCTTTCTGAAAAAGGGAAAATCCTGAAGGAGTCTCAGATGTTCACTAATTATGGGAACTGTCAATCTCAGTTTCTCTCTTCTGATTTTCAAAACAATTCTCTTCTTTTCTGGCATCCAAGGTAGACTGCATACAATGTTTTCATTTAGCTTAGGTTTTTATAGTAGACCACAAGAGTAAGTAAATTTCTTCTAGGAATTTCAGCTTTCCACCCTACAAAAACTCTCCCTCTTTCTCCACTCTTCCTCAGATATTGGGTTTTTTTCCTCCTTTTTTTTTTCTGGTATAATATATATCATAAAATCTCCCATTTAACCATTTAAAAGTGTACAGTTGTGTGGCATTAGGTATATTTACATTGTTGGGCACCCCAAAGATTTAATGAGGGTCTGGTGATCTCACTGAAGCAGGGGAGGGTTGGAAATATAGGAAGAAATAACTATTGTATTTTAAACATTGTTTTTTTTTTTCCCTGTTCTTGAAGGAATGGGGCAAATTCAAATGGGATCCCATAATGGGTGATTCTGAGTAGCTAAGAGGCATCATTAGGATTCTAGACACTAATGGGAAAAAAGATGATGCAGAGAAAGGGTGATTGTAACGAATTTTCTAAGAACAGTGAACACAAACTTGATCTGTCTCACAATACTCATAATACCATTTAATGTATCTGGGGAAGTAAAATGAAGAATTTTTCTTCATTTTGCCTTCTACCAGGATCAGAACAGTGCTCCTGAATCTTGTTTGGGAGTGAATAACTTCGAGAGGTCTCAAATCAAAAGGAAAGTTTAATTTTATGAACTGCAATAATGCCTAAGCAATGTGTTACTAAAGAATGCAATCCATAGAAGAATTACTATTAAATGTCTTAGAATTCTTAAGAATTGAATGTGAGTTGCGAGATTTAAGGTGTGGAAAGGCTTGCATTACGGGCATCAAAATAAACCCACAAGATTTAGCACTGGCTTGGCCTTGAGTTTTCTTTTAGGAATTTGAAGAATTCGTATCCATTTATGTGTTCCCAAATATTTAAGTGCCTACTCTGTGTGAGGCACCGAAATACAACATTGAACTAGGTAAAACAGATTCTTTGCTCTAATAGAGCTTACGTCTAGGTGTATTTTAATTCTGAATTCTGAATCCAAGAGCACAATACATTGAATAAAGCAGTTAACCACGGGAACCATAGTTCTTCACAAGCTGCAGCAGAAGTCAGCATTTTATTAGTAAATTTTCTGTTCCTGGATGCTGGGTCTTCTTAATTCTTAAAAGGGATAGGGGAGAGATGTGAAGATATTTCTCGCCGAAAATCTACATAGGCTTGGTGTTTGGGTTCGGAAACTGTGACTTACACCTGCGGCACCGAACTAACCCTACTTAACAAGCAAACAGTCTGATAGAAGGAAAACTACTCCATCAGAGCTCTCAGAAGGGTCAGCGACTCTAAGCCAGCACGAGGAAAGCAAAGACTACAATTCCCACAAGCCCTTGCGATTCCACCCACCCGGGTAGCTTCGAAGCAAGGGAAAGGTAGGAGGGATGTCGGGCGCACTGTTTGTTGCGTCATGAGCGTGCGACTCCAAGCTACAAAACCGGTGTGGACTACAAAAGCATGGCGGCTGCTGAGGCGGCGGCGGTGGTGTTGTCGTCCTCTTTGAAACCAGACTCAGCCCCAGTCCCCGAAAGTGCAGGGACAGCTGCAGCAACGGCCCCCACATCCTCAGCGATGGCTGCAGCCGCGGCGCTTGCGGCCGCGGCCAGGACCGGATCCGAAGCCACGGTATCCAAGCCAGCGTTGGCTACTAAGCTGCTGTCGCTGAGCGGCGTGTTCGCTGTGCACAAGCCCAAAGGGCCCACTTCAGCCGAGTTGCTGAATCGGCTGAAGGAGAAGCTGCTGGCAGGTACTGCAGCCGGGTGGGGACCAGGCGGAGGCCATGCGGTCGCCGTGAGAGCGGAAGCCGCACAGAGCCGCTAGGCTTTTTGTCCTTTCAAGGCTCAAGTGATAAAAGGAAGGGAAAGGGAGAACGACCACTGTATAAGCTCTGGACAGAAATCTGGAGCATCTCCGGCTAGGACTTGTCCTAACGTAAACTCCTGTAGCCTAGTTGGCAGTTGTTCTCAAGGGAAAAAAACAGGAAAAAATAAAATCTACACACCCACAAATAAACCTCTGCTCTTGGACATGCAGACCAATTTTCTGTAATCTAATCCCTCAGAAAGCTTTTGTTTGTCTCACGTAAGTGAACTGTACCCAAATGAATCACTGGCTCTCTACACTCCAAAGCTGCTTTCTTAAAAACATGTTGGAACTGTGGATATTACTTAACCAAGACTTAACACAGTGTTTTTTCACAGAGTGGGCATAAGAATTATTTAAAGTCCCTTGCACAGATGCAGATGCCTAATCCTTACCCTCTCAGAAATAGTGATTCTGAGGGTATGGGGTGTTTTTAGGAAACTCCATCTTTAAACTGTTGTTCCTGGTGATTTTGGTGTAAGCAGACTATGGACCACATTTTGTTGAACACTATAACTTGGTCACTTCTAAGAGCATTCTTTTTGTTTGTTTGTTTCTTTATATACACTGGGAGAATATTAGAAAATTCTAAAGGATCTCTCAGTTTGTCAATCCAGTAGTTTGTTTCATACAGTGAAATCAAGGAACTTCTGGTTTTTTTTTTGACACCTGCAATAAGCCAGATCTGAAAGACACCGACTTCTCCTTAACTGAGCTCATAGTAGTAATTTCTGTAGCCTTTGGTGATAAAACTATTTAACTAGCTTTTCAAGGCCCTCCAGAGTCTGGCCCTGGCTTATTTTTCCATCAAATCAGTACAAGAAATTTCCTCTTTGAATAGTGTCCCCTGGCAAATGTTACTGCTTCCCTTTTTATTGCAAAAACAAAGTATTCTGGTAGGAATTTGTTAATTAAAACTGACACAGGTTCAGATGTTTGTTGGTAAATTCCTGAAGATATTTAATACCTGTGTTATATCTGCTCATTCTTTTGTTATACTTTCATTATACTTTGTTACCTGTAAGGATGTTGAAGGAAGGAATTACATCAGGGACAAGCTTTGTGGTGTCATCATGGAGTTGATTCCTTCATAGAATTGCTTTCCTTTGGCCTTATTTGTTAGCTAAGCTATGGCATTTTTGTTCCTCAAAGTAATAATTTCTGTTCGTTCTTTCAGATGGGTTTCTCATAGGATTAAAGCCATAGCCTGGCTTTCTGGTTAATTGATCTCCAGGAACTGAAATTTCTTGTTGAAACTTAGTTAAAATTGATGGTTTCCACGCTGTTGCTGAACTGTCTTCTGGAAGCCACTCACTCAGAAGTAGACATTCTCATCACTCTCCATTTCTATATTGCTTGTGATAGGCTGATTCTATATTTATGTTAGCTAGACCAGGGCTTTCTAAATGCTATTCTGACTGGTTGTCAGAATTTACCTGGAAGGTTCTCTTAAAGATACAGATTCCAGAACACAACATTCTAATGCCAGCCAGGTTTGACAATCTCTGATTTAGGCCACCGTCAGTTGTCACGGCATCTATTAATATTCCTTGCCTTTCCTTACATTGATTCATCTGGCACTAAAATCTCTGCTCTTCTGTCTTTTTGAATCCTTCAAGGCCTAAAACATAGCAGAATTTTATAGCTAGAAAAGATCTTGGTAAATATTCATCATCCATGATGCCAGTGGGGTGAACCAGATTCCAACATAGTAGAGGCCAGGTGTCTTCAAACTTGGAAAAAGGGAAAAGCACAAAGGGAAGACAGTAAACTTTAGGGCCTCCATTCTCCAAGCACCTTTAAGTTAAAAATGCAAAGAGTTCCTATAAGTATAGTATGAAAGAGCCATAATGGGTTACAGGTGAACGGGAAGGGTTTGAAGTCTAAGCCTAACCTTACAGGTTCACGTTAAAGCATATCCTCATGTCTTTCCAAACATGGTGATGTTGTAATCAGAGAGTAACATTGGGATCGTGTCCCAGACACCGGAGTTCTAACTCACTAAGGTGGTAATTAAGTGGTGATTACAACCCAGTGCATCCTTTTGGCCATTTCACCTGGCTTCTTTTACTCTGTTTTCCGTCTTCTCTGTGTCAGGGGTAATGCATGCATGCTCAGTTGCTTCAGTTATGTTGGACTCTTCACAACCCTATGGACTGTAGCCCACCAGGCTCCTCTGTCCATAGGTTTTCCAGGCAAGAATGCTGGAGTGGGTAGCCATTTCCTTCTCTAGTGGATCTTCCCAACCCAGGGATCGAACCCTGGTCTTTTACATCTCCTGCATTGGCAGGTGAGTTCTTTACCACTAGTGCCACCTGGCAAGTAAGGAAGGTTTTATGGGTTTGGAAAGGTACAGATCAAGACGGCTCTTCCTGCTTCTCTCTCCATGCTCATTTGAAGTCTGGTGGCCAGTATTCTCTCAATATATTGTTATTTACCGTGATGATGATGATGATAACAGCATATTGGTATAGAGCTTTGAGTTTCCAAAGCACGTTCAGGTAGCATTATTTGATTTTATTCTTTACAATAGGAATATGAGATAGGCCAGGCTAGCATCTTTTGTTTTTTCCTTTTCTCTTTTAAAAATCTAAATGCTTTGGCATATAAGTGGCATCTTAAACTGTTACCTTCTTCCCATGTAACCTTTCGTTGAGATTAACTTCTTAAGGAATTGGTGACTTTTGATTAGGAGAGGAGGGCAGATATACAGATAGTCTGGGGAGTTAGTATTCTCAGAAGTAACCCTGTATGAGATATACTCCAGATGTTTAGGTAGCTGGAGTGACCAGCAGAGAACACCAGGGAACAAGAGAGATTTTAGAGATGGAATTGAAGACTTTTAAAACTAGCTGCCTATGTAAAAACTTCTTTTCATCATCCTCCATCTACCAGCCCACTACTACCAGGAATTTACTGGATCTTTGTGGATTAGTGTGGATATTTACCCACTTAAAAAATTTTTTTTTCCCTTAGAAAATGGGTTCTAGTTTTTCGACAACTAACCTGGGAATACTGTTTCTTTGTAATTTAGGTAGTGTCTGTATATTTAAAGTCTGTTCTTTAGTAATGTTGTAATCAGTTCAGTCACTCAGTCGTGTCCGACTCTTTGCGACCCCATGGACTGCAGTACGCCAGGCTTCCCTGTCCATCACCAGCTCCCAGAGCTTACTCAAACTCATGTCCATCGAGTCAGTGACACCATCCAACCATCTCATCCTCTGTTGTCCCCTTCTCCTTCTGCCTTCAATCTTCCCAGCATTATGGTCTTTTCAAATGAGTCAGTTCTTATAATCTTAATATATAAAGTTTGTACAATGCTTTTTATTTGTTTTGAATATTCCATCCACGCCGCCTCATCCTATGGTAATGGAGATTCTACTTTGTTTCTCTCAGTAATTACTTCTTCTTTTTTTTAAATCCCATTTACTCTTAAAGAAGCTGGAATGCCTTCTTCAGAATGGACCAAGAGGAAAAAGCAGACTTTGAAAATTGGGCATGGAGGGACTCTAGACAGTGCAGCCCGAGGAGTCCTGGGTAAGAGATTCGAATGGAAATTTGATGTAACTGCCACTTATATTAGAAAGAAATATTGATTAAAAACAGACAAAATTGACTAAAGCTATACTATTTTCAGTCTACTTGGAATATTTCACATCTACTAGATTTACAGTGCCATCTTCTCAAGAATCCCTTCTACAAGGTATAGAAGGCTATTAGAAATAGCCACTTTCATGTGTGGAGTGTGGATGGACCTTGAGAAAGGGTATGTATCTGTGCAGAAAAGAGTTAACACAGCAAGCCTGAGTTCACTATCTTTCTGAAGGCCTGCCTGCATTTGGGAACCTGGGTTTGGGGTTGAACCCACCCTTCCCCATCCGATAAGCGCGGTTTGGTGTGCCTCAGTGGTTTGTGTAAGCAGTGTGATTTATGCTGGACACCTGCTCTCCATCTTGGAATCTGCAGTTTTTGTCCCACCATGCAGTGAGAGGGTGCCTGGATAACCATTCCTCTTATCCCCTCCAATAAAAACTTTGGATGCTGGGTTTCCAATAGGCTCCCTTGAGCAGGAACATTGTACACATGTTATTCCTTTTTCGATTATGGAAGGATAGAGGATCCAGCTGTGTAACCTTAGGATGTCACTGTAGGTAAATCTTAGCCATGGATGAATCTTTCAGCGTGGGATAGTCTTGGGGACTCCTGACACAGTATATGACTCTTTTTGGTTTTTTGACTGTATCTTCAGAAGATGAAACTTGTAGTTCCTCAGAGGAAGTCACTTTCTCTTGGGGACATTAGTTAAGTGTCTTACTGCATGTGGAGGAAGATTGATAGAATTGATTGAGGTAAGAAGAGTCATTTGTCTTTTTTTCTCCCACCTTTTTAATTTGTTTGGGTTTTTTTTTTGCATCTAGTAGAGGCTCTGAGGGAACACCTCAGTGGCTCTGTGGTAAAGAATCTGCCTGCAATGCAAGATCTGCAGGAGATGCAGGTTCAGTCTCTGGGTGGGGAAGACCCTCTGGAGCAGGGATTGGCAGCCCACTCCAGTGGAGAATCCCATGGACAGAGGAGCCTGGCGGGCAACAGTCATAGGGTCGCAAAGAGTCAGACACAACTGAGATGATTTAGCACACATGCAGAGATGCTGAAGTCTATCTTTCTAGACTGCCAAAGTGTGTATCCGCAGGATGGGATATGTTTTTAGACACCTTTTTATAACTGTATCCATAGTCACAGAAATACACATTTAGAATTCTCCCTATTTCCCCCTGCCCCACATACTAGAAACAGACTTTTATGGAACAAGCCTACCTTTTTACATGCCCTGGTGTTTTTTATTTTACTCTATTCCATTTTTTTTACAATGTTGATCATAATCCCCTAAATTGATTTCATGCTGCCCTAATGGAATGTGACTCATGCTTTGAAAAATACTGTGCTAGAGCTTCCAATCCATTTTATTAGAGCTAAAATTAGATGCAAATAAAAACAAACCTGATCTAAGCCAGCCAAAGGAAATGAATGCTTATTTAGAAGAAAAGGATAAAATTGGTGAATAAAATTATATTTTTCAAGAAAATTGGAAACAGTATATGATTTGCATTTTCTAAAATTACAAATTTTATGTGATGCATTTTGGCAGAAACATCTTTACTTGAGGTTAAAACAGGAAAAAACACATGAAAATTCATTTTCCTGAGTTAGAGAACTTGAATAGGCAAATTCTGACACGTTAACTACTGTTTCTTACCATAATAATTGATAAACATTTATTGAGCACTTACTGTGTGTGAGGTCCTGTAGTTAGTGAGTGGTGAGATCAAGAGTTGAACCTGGACGTGCTAAGTGTTCAAGTCTCTGCCCTAACCTAGGATGGCAAATAGCTGGTACTCCTGCCCTTGTTCCCCATGTCCACAGCAGAAATTGCTAATCAATCACAGCAGTCTTTACCATTCCTTCCAGAAGTGGGTTCATGATTCTTGTCAGTTCAGCTCTTCTTAAGTTGAAGCCTGTTACAACCTTCCATTTTCTAAGGCGTCCGTGCGTGCTCAGTCGCTCAGTGGTATCTGACTGTGACCCCATGGACTGTAGCCCACCAGGCTCCTCTGTCCGTGGGATTCTCCAGGCAGGAATACTGGAGTGGATTGTCATTTTCTCCTCCAGGGGATCTTCCTGACCCAGGGATTGAACCCATGTCTTCTGTGTCTCCTGCACTGGCAGGTGGATTTGTTACCACCGAGCCACATGGGAAGCCCCTTTCTAAAGCACAAGACCATAAGTCCAAGAAGAACGGGGATAAATTGTGCGTTTATTTATGAATAGACCAATTGTATTAATTTATGACTGTTGTTATTCATTAGCATGCAGAAAATAGTGATATTCAAGGCACTGAGTCAAGAAGTTTATTTTTTACCCTAAATCTAAGGGATCTTGTTGAAAGCTTCCATTTTAGTATTGTGAAGGGGTGGTATTTGGCAGAGATTTGTGTGAGTGGAAGAAATTGCGTTGGAAGTAATTTTCTATTTAGAGGGTTAATTTATATTTAATCACACATGTCCTTCAATATGATATAGTGTGTTCGTATGTCAAAATTATTAATTTTTTTCCTAATAACTGTGATTTCTATTGAGAAATAGTTTTTTTAAAAGTAGATATTTAGTCACAGAATAAGGGAAATTTGTTGTCTAAATTCTATAGACTGTTAAGCAAAGTTGATTTTTGGAGTATGGTGAAATGAACACTGGGCTGTAATCATCATGGGTTGTATACTGGCTACTTTATTTACTAAGTACGTACACCTGAGCAAATCCTATAACCTCCCAGAATTTCAGTTTATCTCTTAAAAAGTGATAACATCTACTGTAATTCTCAGAAGGTTTATTGGAATATCTTAGGAAATGTCTCAGAGAAGGCAATGGCACCGCACTCTAGTACTCTTGCCTGGAAAATCGCATGGACGGAGGAGCCTGGTGGGCTTCTGTCTGTGGGGTCACACAGAGTCAGGCACGACTGAAGTGACTTAGCAGCAGCAGGAAGTGTCTGTAGTATACTGATACATACTCTACCCTGTGAAGCGCTTTGTGAAAGGGCTTTTTGTATTACTGTTGTTGTTTTTAACAAAACTGGACCTAGTGGAGAAATATACTTTTACTTTCAACATTTTAGGCTATTTTTGCTGTTTTGAGGGGGAAATATTGATGGTAAAGATTTAAGAGTTTAGCTGACAATTTAAAATCTGAAATTCAGGTTTATAATTCTATTAGCCTATATTTTATATAAGTACTAGAAATAGTTATAAAATGTTTTCAAATGTTAAATAATTATTACATATAATATATATTATATATAAAGCATATATAATTCTATAAAGAGGGCTTACAAAATTCTGAAAAACTCTGTGGTAAGCAGAATAATGACTTAGCTGAAGATGTCCGTGTCCCAGTCTCCAGAACCTATAAATATGTTAGATTACATAACAAGGATGCGTAACAGTTGCACATGGAATTAATGTTGTTGATCAGTTGACTTTAAGAGACATCCTGGCATATCCTGGTGGATCCAGCGTAATCACAAGGGTCTATAAATTGGAAGAGAAGGCAGAAGCGTGTCAGAGAAGATGTGGCGATGGAAGCAGAGGTTGCAGTGATGCGGTTGCTGGCCTTGATGAGGAAGGGGGTCCTGGGCCAAGGAAGGTAAAGAGCCTCCAGAAACTGGAAAAGGCAAGGAACCTCCCCTGGGAAGCCTCTAGATAAAGGTTCTCCCCTCAGGCCTCTAGAAAAGAAGGCAGTGTCTTGACCCCTTGATTTGTACCATAGTAAAAGTCACCTCAGATTTCTGACCTCCAAAACTGTAGGATAATAAGATTGTGTTGTTTTAAACCACTGTGTTGGTAATCTGTTGCGCAAGCAGTAGGAAGATGATATTCAGTATAAATTACTTAAAATGGAACTAAGTGTTGATATACTATTTTGAAGTTTAACTTTCAAACTTAGAAAATTATGGTGAAAAAAGTTAGAAAATACAAGAAAACATAAAGTGTAAAGTAAAAATTATCCATTTTCCACCTTCCAACAATAATTTTTGTCAACATTGTGGTTGTATTTCTCCCTAGCTTTTTGTCTATGCAGATTTTTTTAAATTGAGCTATTTTATATATACTCTGGGCTTTCCTAGTAGCTCAGCAGGTAAAGAATTCACCTACAGTTCAGGAGACAGTAGACGTGGGTTCAGTCCCTGGGTTGGGCAGATCCCCTGGAGGAGGAAGTGGCAAGCCACTCCAGCTTTCTTGCCTGGAGAATCCCCACTTACAGAGGAGCCTAGCCAGGTCGTAAAGAGCCAGAAACAACTGAGCCCGTGACAGAGGAGACTGTATACATGTCCAAGCTGGGTTACTCTAAGATGCCTTCTTGTTTCACTGTGGATCACTGAAGCAGCAGAGAAATGGTCATCCACCCAGCCTTTTAACTATGATAGAATCAGACACACCAACCTGCTCTTAAGACACCCTGCACTCTGGCTGATAAACCCACTGTGCTCATCCTTGTGTCTGAGAATCTGTCAATTTGTTCCTTCTTTAGAACACACTTTTCTCGTCTGCATGTTCAAATCCTGTACATTCTTTAAGGCCTAACTCTGAGTGCCTCAATGAAGCATTCTCTGGACTCTGCTGCCATGTAGAGTAACCTCCTACAGTAGTTATCATCTGTGTGTTCATTTTGACACAATCATGTATTGTTGTATTGTTATTTAATGTTATTCTCTCATTAATTCAGGCAACTTTTTTTTTTTTTTTTTGAGCACTTGCAGTTTCCCTCCTCTGTATTGTATTTTGCCCACGAGATTATAGGCCCTTTCAAAGTCAGGATATGTGCTATTCCATTAAAGTGTTCTTGGGATGGAGTGCCTGGTAGCTGCTTGCAAAATATTGATTGGGGTTTCTTGAATGGAATGAAATTGAATTGAATCTTTGTTATTATTGTACAAAGTTTTTGCCTCAGCAGCAGGTGCTCTCATTTGAGCTCAACAGAGGATCCCGAAGGCAGAGAGTGTTTGTTAGCCCTTCAACCACTGTGACTATCAAAGAAGCTGAGAGGGGCTTCGGGATAGACTTTATGAAGGAATGGGGATGTGAGCTGTATTTCAAAGGACGGGCTTTGAATACTTTACTAAGAAGTTGGTGCTGTAGGCATTGGGACCCTATTGAGGATTGCTCAGGAGCTTTGTGCTATGGAGTTTTCGGAAATGGTTATGAAATGGTATGAATTGGAAGAAGAAGAGATAGGATATAGAACAGGGAGGTTGATTTGGGCTGGTGGCAGTGAGAGGAAAGCCTGGGTGAGTAAGTTGGCAGGGGGATGAGAGGAAGGAGGTCTGCTGTTAGTCTGGTTGGAATTTTAATTCCAGCATTTACTGGTTGTGAGATACCGGGCAGAGTTCTTAGACTCTTATGCGTCAGTTTCCTCAGCTATCATAGAGGGATAATCGTATCATCTTGTTTTAAGGATTAAATGAGCTAATGAATGGAAAGCACTTAGAGTAGAATTTGATACATGGTAAACTCAGTGGATCATATCTGCTATAAATATTCATGATAATTCATTCAACTTGCCAGTCATTTCTCTTTGTTTCTTATAATTCTGAATTGCGACAGTTGTATTGTGTGTGCTTTTACAAAATTGTATCCACTAATGAGAAATACTTCCATTCTTATGAAACTTTGCTTGCTGTTAAGTGAAGAAATGATTACATCCTCTCATCTTTGGCTGGTGAAATGTTTTGTTACAAGGATAATGTTTGAAACTGAGGAGACATGTGGGCCATTGTACTTTTTATTTGGTCCATGCAAACATATACTCTCCAGACTCACATTTTACCCTGTATTATTCTTTGTGTCTGGTTGATTTGTTATGTTTCTATTTTCTTGATTGTATACTGCTGGACACAAATCATCTTTAAATGGTTCATTAGTTATGATGATAGCTTTTGCTTTGTTTAATAGTGGACTCTGTCAGAGACTTTATCATACCAAGATTAACTGTAGCATTTTTTTTTCACTGATGCCCATAAAAAATTCCAGTGAGTCCTTGGAGATTTTTTCAAAACTTTTTGTTATCTAATTGTCTGGATTGAGGTTTCTAATATTATGTTTCACACTTAGAGAAAGAAAGTAAGTCTCTCCCCCACCCCCACTTCAGAATTTCTTACTTGCATGACAAGTTCAACTGATTGGAGTCATAGGAGCCCTGACATTATGCTAAATAAATGCTTTTTCTAACTTTACATATGCCAGGAAATTGTGCCTAATGTATGTCATAAAGCATATTTTTAAAGCCTAGTTTTCACAATACGGTGTCATAATATCTCTTTCTTTGATTTGTAGTGGTTGGAATTGGAAGGGGAACAAAAATGTTGACCAGTATGTTATCAGGGTCCAAGGTAAGAATACTAGAATGGTTCTGTTTTTCTTGAATGTTTTCTTAATGACCTCTGTGTTGGATTTTATCAGTTAAAAAATAAACTGTATAACTTGCTTGAATGAGTGTCAACCCTGGGTATTAATCACAGTGTCTATAATCATGATATTTGAGATTCAAAATATTGAGACTAAATTCATAATTGAAAAGTAAATTTGATTTATCGAAGCAAAAATTTTGTGGTACCTATAATTTAAAAATAGATGTGTTTAGTTTTTGTGAGGGTTTTTTTGTATGTTTCTTTTTGTTTGTATATTTCTTAAAGAAAACTTACAGATCATAAATTCTGTTAGAAGATTTTTTTTAAACCTTAGAATTTTTGTAGAAACAATATCATTTTTTAAGCCATGCAGTTTCCAACAAAAGACATGTTTTGTTCAGTGTTTACAAAATGTTTACTAACTAAAAGAATGGGGCTTCTTAAAGATGATGTTGCATCAGTCCTTGACTGCATCCAAAAGCATCTTTAAGGCTTTGAATAGGAGAGGGAGGAGGGATTAAGCAGGGACAGGACAGGTTCTAAACCTGGGCTTTAGGCCTTGAGTGAGAACCGTCACTGAACTGGCAAGGTCGAAGGAGCCCTGAGACAAGTCTAGGTGTCAGTGTTTCACCTCTCTGGGCCTCTTCCAGCTTTAAAAGAGATAATAATATCTATATCCTAATTAGCAGCTAGATGCTGGTTATAATAGCTTGGACTTGGGACCAGTGAAAATGGAGAAGATAGGAAATGTGGAAAACGTGGAAGGAAGATTAATATGCCATTAGGAAAGGGGAGAATTTCAGCAAGTTCCTGGATTAAACTTTTTGTTTGCCTTAAAACCCTTGTTGCAAGTGGGTTATAAATAGTTGGTAAAGTGCTTTCTGTCCAAATTTTTCCTTAGAAAAGAAACTGTGGTCAAAGACCATTTAAAAAAACTTACCATTTCACTGCAGACTTTTATTAAAAATTAATTAATATCAAATTGCTAAGTAAGTTTCTAAGTACCTTCATTTTCTGAACTTATCTCATTGTGGTTACTGGCCCTTGGGCCAGACTGTTGAGGGCCAGGGGTCTAAGTAAGTTTTTCTTAAAATGAAAAGCCCTGGAAAGCCTATTGCCTTTAACATCCCATTTTAGTTAGTAGTTGGCATAAAAGCCTGTCTTTCAGTTGGGAAGGATCTTCATACCTTAGATAAGTGGAAGAATTTCCAAAATCACAGAATATAACAATTGTGTTAGAATGGAGGAGTTTGACATTGTACAGTAATTTGTACAGTGTATTTAAATTCTGACACGTAGAGGTTAGAATCTGTTTCTGGTACAGAATTTTCTAATTGCTTAATATATGTTTAATTCTAAAATATAAACCATGGTTATTTTGATACAAGATTATGGATGATTTTATTTTCTTTTTTCATACTATTTGGTATTCTTCAAAATCTTTACAATGAAAACTCACTTTTTAATAAAACAAAAGATATATTTTACATTAAGGCATTTGTTTGTTTGTTTTCCCCACCAAGATAAAATGTTAATTTCACTGAAATGTTCATTATCCATCCCCCCCCAAAAAACCCATAAGTACATGTAACACATTATATGTTTTTGAAAGGTTTTACATGTAAGTTTCAGACACATTTCCAGAAGTATGATGACTGGAAAAATGTATACATCATTGGCTCTTGTTTAAATTTTATTTATCACAAATCATTTTGGTATTCAGCTAGGAAAGCTGAATGTCATACAGTGAAATCACTGATCTTCAGATGACTGTAATATAAGTAGAAAACTCCAGGTGCTTCTTATTATAGAGACCTAGTTCTTGGGTACTTCACTTTTGCAAAATAAGAGTTGTTATTATCTTGGTAGCTATTTGTATTTCTTATGCTTTTAATTTTAGATTATGTACTTGTGGCTCAGCTGGTAAAGATTCCACCTGCAATGTAGGAGACCTGGGTTCGATCCCTGGGTTGGGAAGACCCCCTGGAGAAGGAAATGGCAACCCACTCCAGTACTCTTGCCTGGGAAATCCCACGGACAGAGGAGGCTAATGGGCTGCAGTCCATGGGGTGGCAGGAGTCAGATGCGACTTAGCAACTACAGCACCACCACCACCAGTCCTTATATGCATTCCTGCCCAGTCAGATCAGAGCAAGGTTTGAGAAAAGAGCCTTTCCTTGTCTTTATCATTAGCTTCCTCTCCTGTCTGTCAGGCTTTGCTCTGCCAATGATCAACTTTATCTTGAGTCATTTTTTTCTCGCTGCATTCTCTTTTGGGATTCTGAGTGTATTATGTAAAAAAAGCACATAGGTTTTCTGTACAGTGCCTGTTATGCAAAAGTTGCTCAGTAAATACTGTTATTACTGTTTCCACGTGTTTCATCTATCCCCAAATCTCTCTCTTCTGAGTTACAGGCCTGTTGGATCGCTCTGACTATCAATGCCTAGACATTAATTTTATTCAAGCAATTTCTGTTGGAAATCTTGAATGCAGTTAATTTCATTCCTTTTATTTCTATCTCTTGACTTTTTGATGGCCTAGGCAAAAACGTGACATTGATGAGAAAGAGGAAGCATGCTGGTTATTTAAGGAAGAGACTTAACTCTGGGTATTAAAGTCAGAAAGAAATTTTTTACAGTAAGGGAGATTGAATGATAGATAGTGGTTCTCAAAAATAGTTCTACAACATGTGTATAAGTGGCTCTGCATGAAATACAACAGGTAGAATGATTCTAAGGGAGTTAGGTGAACACATCCCTTTGACTTAACTTGATCTAAGTATGGAATATAGCTTACCCAGAAGAAAGTAATAGATTCACAGTCCCTTTACTGTCTTCCCTAAATTACACTTTCTTTGAGCCAGTCATTCAGGAGAATCTGGATGGCAGATGTACTTTGAAGTAACAGGCTTTGATGAGGTTTTGGAGTGTTATCTTTATTAGCTTCCTATATTGCTGATTAAAAGTTGGTTATTTATATGTGCTTTTGAAACCAGATGAGCCATGGAAGGGTTGATGTTCTGTTATGAGATTGCTAGTGCCATGAAAATGCTCTTAACTAGCATTTTCCAGGTATAATGCTATTCGCATATCTATGTGGAGATAAACCATAGTGCCTGTAGGCAAAGCCAGCATTTCATCAGAAAGCAGCTTTGTATCCCCTCCAACCATTGAATGGGTATCATCACTGGGGTATACAGATGTTTCCCCCAGATGTGTTCAGATATGTTCAGAGGACAGTAATTTCCCCCAGGTGTACACAAGCATTTTTAGGTTACCTAATCAGTGTCAACTGCAAAGTGTGACTTTAATAAAGCTCCTCCTGTGAAACTTAACAGCAGCTCTCTTAAGATTGGAGCATCTCTAATCCACTTTCTCCAGAGGTTCGTCCAATTTGTACCTTTTCTTTACACTCTATTAATATTCATTATATTTCATAAGTACTATATTGAAAATTTTGAAGGACTTAACATTTCATGCGCTGTATAGAGCTGTTCCTTGTTAATGAAGATATTCAAAACCATGTTTCGGTGTGGTAGCATAATAAGCTTATCATTAATAAACTCATATTTCTGTAAAGTACTCCATCTTAAATTGCTCACATAACTGCCGATTCTTTTAAGTGAGAATTCTGTTCCTTGCATTTTTCTTGCTAATTCCTGTGATCCTCAAAATGAAATTTGAATTTGACCAAACGAGAAGAGAATAAAGAATATGTAGTACAGTGTGACCCAAGATAGAAAGCAGAACAATCCTCAGTTAACTAGGAGTGATCTAATTCTTCACTTGAGAGTAATGAGCAGTTCTGAGAAGTGACTTTTATCCTTTCAGAGAGCTTAAGACATAGCCATTTCTCCTTACAAGAAACACATATGTACATTATCTCTGCTATACTAGTTTTTATGTTTTTAGCTTTTGTTTAAATGCATAATCAAGTTCCTAAGACTGAGCTTGGCATTTCATATAAGAAATTATAATTAAAAATTAATTTTAATTGCATGTGGAATAAAATTATTGCAGTCCATGGGGTCACAGAGTCGGACACAACTTAGCAACTGAACAAAAACAACAGATTATTGAATCCTGTGATGTTAAGTAGGGGATTATTGTACCATTATCTCTACTCCTAGATATATTTAAAATTTTTCCTTCACAATCTACACTGCCCAGTAGAAAATTTATTTTTTTTAAAATTTATTTTATTTTAATTGGAGGCTAATTACTTTACAGTATTGTAGTGGTTTTGCCATACATTGACATGAATCCGCCATGGGTGTACATGTGTTCCCCGTCCTGAACCCCCCTCTCACCTCCCTCCCCATCCCATCCCTCTGGGTCATCCCAGTGCAGCAGCCCCGAGCACCCTGTCTCATGTATCAAACCTGGACTGGCGATTTGTTTCACATATGATAATATACATGTTTCAATGCCATTCTCCTAAATCATCCCACCCTCGCCCTCTCCCAGAGTCCAAAAGACTATTCTTTTTTCTTTTTTTTTAAAAGACTATTCTATACATCTGTGTCTCTCTTGCTGTCTCACATATAACTGATTTTTTAAAACTTTTTGTACAGTGTTGAATGGCATCACCAGCTCAATGGACGTGAGTTTGTGCAAACTCCGGGAGATAGTGAAGGACAGGGAAGCCTGGCATGCTGCAGTCCATGGGGTAGCAAAGAGTTGGACACAACTTAGTGACTGAACAACAACAACTGTGTATTTATAAGTGACGATTATCAATAAAATCAGGTTTTTCTTTGTCATGTTGGCTGGTTTGGAAAGTTTATGAATGTTCCTCGATCTATACAGTGCTTCCCACATATGAACTCTAACCAAGCATTACAGTCTATTGATTTTGCCCTTTATTTTGTATCAGTTAGGTTTATTAGTAAGGTTCTGTATAAGCTTTAAGACATGCATAACAGTTCTTTACCTTATGGCCTGTTTCCCTCCCTTGTGTCTCTTCCTCTAGAGATATGTTGCCACTGGGGAACTGGGGAAGGCTACTGACACGCTAGATTCTACAGGGAAAGTAACAGAAGAAAAACCTTATGGTATGAAGCTCGTCATATGTAGTCCTTATGTCTAATATTTAAAGAAACTTTCTCTGAATTTGGAATTTAAAAATAAGTCTCTTATGTTTCCGGTGATTTTAATTGTCAGTACATTTCTTTAGGTTAAAGAGGTTGGAAATTGTTTATTACATTGTTGCTTATATGGTATGCCTATCAGTAAAGAATTGCAGTAATTGACTTTTCCTATAATCAATATTTTTTTCCCAATTATTTTTATTAGTTGGAGGCTAATTACTTTACAATATTGTAGTGGTTTTTGCAATACATTGACATGAATCAGCCATGGATTTACATGTTGTTCCCCATCCGGAACCCCCCTCCCACCTCAATTTTTTTAACGTGCAGAATTCTTCCAAATAACTCCCTTGGCAAAAACCACATATACAATAGATACGATTTAGGACATTTTTTCCTAGTCCTAGGTGAAACAAAGCAGAGAAATTCTCTTGCTCGATTTTACCTGCATCGTGTCATTGTTGTTGTTTTGGTTTTGGTGTATATAATTATCTCATAGCTGTTGAAATAAATGTCCTAGGTTTAATACGTTAAAATTGATCATATTTCTGTGCTTTTGGAGTATGCAAAAAGATATAACAAAAGAAAAGCTATTTCTCTGGAAATAAAGAGAACTCACTGGGGCGCACTTTAATTTTTCTACCATCCCTTCTTTCGCTTCTTTAAGAAAGGGTGGATAAATGAAATGGTTTCCTAGCAACTCGCATAGTGCTTATGCTATTTATAATGCAGCAGTTGTGGTTTTTGTACGGTCAGTTCACCTACATTATTATGTCATCAACTGAATTATTTGTAAGCTTTCTGTTCTGTTTGGTTTTTTGCCCGTGCTTAATGTCATCTTTTTTAATGTAGCTTTAGGCAGTCTAACATCTGCTTCCCTGTGTTTTTGTGTTGAGTGGTCTTAATGTATATTACATATTCCCCCAGTAGAGAGACCATCCTTCTCCTTGTTCATAATGGCTTCTCTTGTCCTGTTAACGTTTATATGTGGCTTAGTATCTTGCATGATTAATCAAGCACCATAATGAAGAGAAAAATAAACCAGTTTATTTTGAGTCTTTTAAAAAATAGATGTTGAATTAGCCTTGAAATCATTATTATTATTATTATTATTATTATGGAATAACAGCATATGCCCACTTAATGGAAACCCAGCCATAATCTTCAGCCAGAATGCTTGTGAGATTAAAGAGGCCTAGGAGGATGTCAGAGATTTCCAGAGTATCCTACATTATATGTCAGTTTATATATAGTTAAAAGAATGGTGAGGTGGTAAAATTGGTGAGACTCATTGGTTGGATGGGGACAGAGAGGAAGTTGTTAAAAAAAAGATCTAGGTTTCTGGGTTTTAAAACTGTTACATGACGGTGCAGTTCTTTGAGTAGGGAATACTACAAGAGGACCAGGGTAATAAACCACTTGAACATACACCGATGGGCAGGACTACCCTGAAGCATTTTGGAATTTTTAAAAACTCTACTTTGTATTCTATCATTTACGACCTTACTTACGTTAAGGAAAGTATGTTAGTGTGTTAAAATCATCTCATTATAATCTAGAAATCTGAGAAACTAAACAACTTTCTTTAGGCCCTGAAAAGGAGACCTCCCTATAGTTGACTGAACACTGTAGTCCCAGAAAATGAGCGCTCAGAGAGTTTTGCTGATTGACATGATTTTTCTGTATGATTTTGGTAAGTCAGCGTAGTTTGTCATCTGTTTAAGCTGCACAGCAGGCACCAAGGGGAAAATAAATATAAAACCTACCTTGTATCCTTAAGAAACTCGTGTCATATGGAGAACTAGGACCTGTGTTCTCAGCCCTGAGACTTAATCCTAAGACCTATAACCAGTATTTTGTAATGCCTTCTTTATTATGCTGAAATAAAACTCAGAGTTTTTCTCCCCTACCTACACATTAAAAAAAAAAAAATCAATATACTATAGTAAATGGACTATAAAGAAGAAATAAAGGTAATTTATAGTAAAATAGTTCCATCAGTATGTAAATGCACAGATATTACTACACTGAAAGTCTTCGTGAGGTAATCAGATACGTATATATATCAGATACTTACACATCAATCACTGTGAATGCCACAAGTCAAATGCAGACTGACAGGTGTGTTGTGTTCATGACTCAGTATTGGAAAGTTCGGTATCTCCTTCGGGAGCAACTGAAGAAGAGAATTATTTGGGGGCTTCCCCGGTGGCTCAGTGGTAAAGAATCTGCCTGCAGTGCAGGAGATGCAGGTTTGATCCCTGGGTCTGGAAGATTCCCTGGAGAAGGAAAGGCAACTCTCTCCAGTGTTCTTGCCTGGGAAATCCCATGGACAGAGTCGGCAGGTGGGCTACAGTCCATGGGGTCACAAAAGAGTCAGACGCAACTTAGCAAATAAACAATAAGACTGTACAAAAAATTCTGTATTTAAGTGGAAAATGGACTTAGATTCTAGCCTAAATGAAGTGAACGTTGCTCAGTTGTGTCTGACTCTTTGCGACCCCACGGACTATACAAGCCATGGAATTCTCCAGGCCAGAATACCGGAGTGGGCAGCCTTTCCCTTCTCCGGCGGATCTTCCCAACCCAGGGATCGAACCCAGGTCTCCTGCATTGCAGGCGGATTTTCTTTACCAGCTGAGCCACAAGGGAATCCCGTCCTAGCCTAAAGTAATTCTAAACAGAAGGTCACCCACTTGAGCATCTGGCAGATGTCCGGAACTCAGGCAGAGCGTAGGACAGCTCCTCGCTGCACTGCCCCGGGCACATCACAGGACGTCTGGCATCCCTAGTCCTCACCTATTAAGTGCTGCTGCCGTCGCCACCCACCAGTCATTACAGCAATAAAAAATACAGCTTTTAATTGACCCATTGAAAACAACCACCATCTGGGTAAAACAAGGGGTTATGCGGTAAAACAAGGGGTTATGCAGTAAACGGCACGTGAAGGACCTGAGGTCACTTTATCCCATCTAGACAAATTACTATTTTTAGCCATACAAAATGAGTCTCTAGCTCAGACTCAGTGTTCAAACCCTACTAATAGGGCCCTTTCTTTTATTCTCTATCCTGTTATTTCTAAATAGTATTTGTTGCCGTTTATTTAATAAATTTTTGTACATTAATTCCTAAGCTTGGCTGAGACTGTGTCTCTTTTGGTTTTTGGTGTTTAGAGCAATGCGTGGCATGTAAAATAAAATATTTAGTGGGTATGAATAAACTAGGCTGGTGATAGAGGCGTTGAAGAGACTGCAGGGAAGTCCCAGAAAAGGCAAAGCGTCTTCCTCTCTTCGCCGCTCTTTTCTCACCCACAGTGAAGTGTTGGGTTTCAGGTACGGCTGCCAGTGTCTGAGGATACACGGCTCCAGTGTGCTCATCTCAGGACACCGAGGCCGTGGGCTTCCCAGGCTGTCTTGGATGTGAGCCGAGCTTCTGGGAAGGCCTTACTGCTCTGGTGATGGGAATAGCTTTTTTCTATGCCTCCTGTGGCTTTGTTACTGGGAGGCAAGAAATGTAAACTGTAAGTGCCATCTCTTGCTAATCCTCTGTTCCAAACACCACCACCTCTCGGTCCCGTAATAGAATGTTGCCAAGTCTTCTCGAATGGATGCCACTAACGTAGTATCTGATGCGAGTGGTTCCTCCTGGACTGTGGTCTGGCTTGCCCACATTTCCTAGAGGAAGCTGAGAAGTTGAATTGGGTCTCCAGTTGTCATTTAAACAAATAAGGCACACACTATACTGGGGCTAGGGTATAGCTGGATATCAGTCATCCCGTGGTACCTTTATTTATACTGAAACTTTTTTCTTACAAAGTATCATGCAAATAAAGGAAAGTGAAGAAAGTATAAGTTTACAGCTTAATGAACTATCACAAAACAAACATCCATGCAGCTCCCAGTGTAGTCAAGAAATAGAGGGGCTGCCCTGGTGGTCCAGTTGTTAAGAACCCACCTTGTTGTGAGGGATCACCTGTTCGATCCCTGGTCTGGGAAGATTCCACATGGCATGGGGCAGCTAAGCCCTCGCGACAGAACTACTGAGCCCACACTCCAGAGCCCATGAGCCGCAACTACTGAACCTACATGCCTCAGCTATTGAAGCCCACTCGCCCCAGAGCCCATGCAACAAGAGAAGCCGCACAGTAAGAAATCCATGCACCGCAGCAAGAGAGTAGCCTCCATTTGCCACAACTAAAGAAAGCCTGTGTGCAGCAATGAAGACCCAGCACAGCAAAAATATAAATAAATACTTTTAAATCCTTAAATTTAAAATTCTTAGAAGCCCCCTTCCTGCCCCATCCCAGTGACGACAACATCTCTCTTTTCTAAGCATAACTACTATTCTAATGTCTAACGCTTTGCTGATAATCCTAAAACTATAGTATAGCTTTGCCTGTGCTACCGTGTGGAAAAAGTTTATATATGTACGTGTGCTGAGTTGCTTCAGTCGTGTCTGACTCTGTGACCCTTTGGACGGTAGTCCACCAAAGCCTCTGTCCAGGGGATTCTCCAGGCAAGGACACTGGAGTGGGTTGCCATGTCCTCCTCTAGAGGATCTTTCCATCCCAGGGTTCGAACCTACCTCTCTTACATCTCCTGCATTGACAGGTGAGTTCTTATACCACTAGCGCCACCTTGGAAGCCCGTATATGTACATATACATTTATGTGGGCTTCCAGGTGGCATTAGTGGTAAGCCACCTACGATTTCAGGAGACATAAGAGACGCAGGTTCGATCCTTGGGTTGGGAAGATCCCCTGGAGGAGGGCTTGTCAACCCACTCCAGTGTTCTTGCCTGGAGAATCCCCATGGACAGAGGATGCTGGCGAGCTACTGTCCATAGGGTTGCGAAGAGTCAGACACAACTAAAGCGACTTAGCACTCACACACTCATACGTTTATGTGCATCTGTATAAAATATGTAGAGAGACGTATGTGTGTATACATACATATTCTTCTATCATGAGACGTTTGTGTTGACTCCAGATTGAGACTTTATGAATAAAGCTGCTGTGTATATTTGATGCCTGTCTTTTGGTAGACATGTGCAATAATTTCTCTTTGATATATACCCAAGTGGAATTGCTGGGTCATAGGGTAAGTGCATATTTTACTATACTAGAAATTGTCAAGTAATTCTTAAAAGTGGTTGTACAACCTTGCATTTCTACCAGCAGTGTATAAGCATTCTACTTGTATCACATCCTTGGCAACACATGGTAATGAGTAGTGTTTTTAGTTTTGGCCATTCTGATCAATAGGTCATGGTGTTTCATTGTGGTTTTAATTTCATTACTAATGAGATTCAGCTCAAACCGTAAATAATTTGCCTGCAATGCAGGAGACCAGGGTTTGATCCCTGGGTCAGAAAGGTTCTCTGGAGAAGGGAATGGCAAACCATTCCGGTGTTCTTGCCTGGAGGATCCCTGGTAGGATCCCTGGCAGGCTGCAGTCCGTGGGGTCGCAAAGAGTCGGACACGACTGAGCAACTAACACACAATGAGATTCAGCAGTTTATCATATGTTTTTTGGGTACTAAGCCATCTTTGCTTATTGTCCAGGTCTCTTGCCCATCTCTTTGTTTTGTTTCTTCTTTCCCTTGCTCTTGAGTCACTTTTTTTTTTAAGATTCATTTGTATGAGTTTTATGAAGAAAAAAAAAAACTCTGGATATGTGCTCTTCTGTTTGATCATGTGTATTACAGATACTGTCTTCTTTGTAGCTTGTCTTTTACGAAACTCTCTTAGCTGTGTCTTTTGGAAAACAGAAGTTCCTAGTTTTACTTTAGTCTATGGTTAATTTTTTAGCGTCCTGTTTAAGAAAACTTTTCCCATGCCAAAAGCATTAAGATATTTTTCTACATTCTGGCAGCTTTATTCCTTTGCCTTTCACATTACATCTACAGTCTGCCTTTTTTTCTGTATGGATATCCAGTTCACTCAGCACTTTTCCCCACTACCTTGTTTCTTCGATCACAAATCAAGCGTCTTATAAGCGTGGGTTTGTTTGGAATCTATTTTGTTGCATTTGGTCTGTTTATCCTTGTGTTAACACCAAACTATGTTAATTGCTATAGTTTTAGAATAAGTCTTGTTATCTGAAAGAGCAATTTTTGTACCTTATTTTTATAGATTTTTTTCTATAGGCTTTTTAGTTTTCTTATGAAAGTAAGGAAATTGCTTTCTATTCCTAATTTGCCATTTGTTTTTTTAATCATGAGCAACCATTGAATTTTATAAAAAAATTTTTTTGCTGCATAGGCTTTCTGTTTGGTGATTCAAGCAGCAAATAAATTATTCCTAGGTGACTAGGAATGCTCTTTTGACCTTGAGATTCTATTATTCCTCAGCAAATTAAATTCAACAAGAATGTCTTGAGTACCATCTTAATTGTGTGCATTATATAAGAAGAAAAGCTATCTTTGCCTTTTAGGAGATTAGAATTCCATTGGTGAGATAATACCCACCCACACACACACACACACACACGTGTGTGTGTGTGTGTGTGTGTGTGTGTATATAATAAATAGCTGTTAAAAATTGTGAATGATTAATTGCAGAATGAACAGCAAAACCATACATGCCTAGGATCTTAAGTCAGAGAAGGCAACACCATGGCAGGAATAGACTGAGAAAGAATACATCTCATCACCTTATGTGGGAAAATTTCAGTAAAAGAGAGTCCCCCAAGCAGGACAGGGGAATTGGCCTTGGCAGAAATGTTAGTAAAGAGACCAGCTTGGTGGAACTAGAGAGCTGTTTGGTCTTATTTTTTAAATGTATGGATGACTACATTATGAACTGTAGCAATTTTACCAGCAGTGGCATTTCTTTGAGCAATTGCCAGCATGGTGGTAGTATTGGCTGTCTAGATTTGGAAGTCTTGCATAACTAAAATATCACCAGTAATTATGTCTTAATGTTTCAAGAGAGTAAACATTTTTCATGGAAAAAAATACTGAGATACATCTGTTTGTACAACAATTTGAACAAAATGGGCATTTCAGCTCTACTTGTATGGAGCTGCTAGGTGCTATTCTTTTGAGTTGTGTAGCTCTTCTCTATTTGAGTCTAGTAGATTCTGGTCTTTGGTTCATGTTTAGCTCATAAGGATCAAGGTCACACAGAGATTAAAGCTCTCTTGCTGCACTGATATTAAAATCTGGACAGTGTTCCTTGCTGTCTTTTAATTTTTATTCTGGTGTTAGTACAGTAATTCAAAACACAATAATTAGTTTTTGTTTAATATTGTTTAAATGAGAAGATCAAATACAGCATGTATATACCAGGATAAAAAGTTCAAGTAAGTTTCCTACAGAGTGAAAAAGAAGACTAATTTCTTTCCATTGACTATAATTTATACAAGTAATAGAATGTTTCTGTAACCTAGTTTTTTACTGAATAAGAAATTTGTATAGTTATCTAAATGTGAAAATCCCAAATATTGAATTTCATTGTGTTAGTTTCCAGTTGTTAAAATTATAGAACAGTATTTTAATATTGCATCATTTTGCTTGAAAGAGTATCAAACAAAAGCTGAAAACATAACTAAGACAGATAAAATCTCTGTTATGTATTGGGTTGGCCAAAAAGTTTATTCAGATTTTCCATGACATCAAAACCCAAACCTACCCAATATATTTCCTTTCTTACACTGGCTTATTTTTGAGACCAGACTCGGGATTGAAATTCTAAGAGCAGTGAAGGGAGGGAAGGAGACAGATAAATACAGCTTTATTTGGGGACAAAGTTAACATGTGAGTGTAGAAAATGCATACCATGCCATACATATAACAGTTTTGAAATCTATCAGGTAAGATTTTAAATGTGATTAGTACTTCATAGCTTTCAATAACTTATTTAGTTATTTATAATATCTGATCCCTGGAGAAGCTTAGAAATAGCTTTGTGGGTATTTTTCTACTTACTTTCTAATCACCACATTTTTGATCACTGCAGGACCATTTATATAGCTAATGCAGCATTTTTCTCAGGTCTTCTGAAGGCCCTAGTGAGAATGTAGTAAATGCACATAAAACGATTGGATTCTTTTTAATGGAGAAAAAAATGAAGCATAGGAAGTTGAATTTAGTCTTAATATTGGACAGTATAAGACTTGCCCCCTTTTATCTCATTATTGTGTATTTTATTCATCTCAACAAGGTAGAATTTGACCTGTAAAATGTATAATGTAATAAGTGCTTTGTTGAAAAAAAATTTTTTTTAATTTTCAGAGTTGTCAGTACTGTGAAAATAGCACATGTACTTCTGTGATTGTTTTAGTGACACTTTTTTTGGTTCATTTTTGGCAGATAAAATAACACAAGAAGATATTGAAGGCATTCTACAGAAATTCACTGGGAATATAATGCAAGTACCTCCCCTGTAAGTTCAATTGTTGAATTTTAATAAATGTTTAATTTTATTTTCCAGTGGCTGACATCACGCTAATGAAGAAAAAGGAGAGTGGCTTCCTTTTACTTTATGGCAAGGCATGTTTTAGACCTAGCAACTGGTCAAGAGAGGTGACCCTGGTTCAGATAGGATACAGAGCCTCTGATGTCTTTAAGAGGAGACTGATGGGCTCCAGTCCATGGGGTCACAAAGAGGCAGACACGACTGAGCACAGCGCATACACACACGGGGTGTAGTCTCCTTTGTCCCTGGATATTGCCCAGCCTGACATCTGTGCTCTTCCAGGGTTTGTTGGTTTTTCTGATTCCACCTGTAGTCATCAGGGCAGTTCTGGAGAGCAGCAGGCATGTTGCTTGTCCCAGAATAGCAGGAAAAGGGACCAGTCCCATCTGGTACAGGCATCAGAGTTATGCTTTAGAGTCCAGTTGACACTTCCTGTCAGGTGTTGGGACCATTCTTTTTGGGCCCAGAATCTTATATTTCACAATCCTCTGCAACAAATGAAACAGATGAGAATTATAACTTATTAAAAGTATAAATATATTGATTTACCACCTAAGCCATATTTTTGTGCACATTATAATTTCAAACAAATTGCTTCCTTTTTTTTCTAATGGCATAGAATGTGTCAGGATATGTTACTAAAACTTCTTTTAGAATTTTGGTTTTTTAAAAAAATCTTAATTTTTTTAAGAACACTGAAATATCTGTGGGAAATGTTTCTTTATAATTTTGCCTCAAATGGGAAGACTTAAAAATTGTAACAGGATCTGAACAAACATTTTTTTGGATCGTTATTGTTAAGATATAGTAAACATTTATGTTTCTAAGAATTGTCCTAGGATTTTCTTCCCTGTGATTGTTCCAAGGATTTTTTTGTGTGGACTAATCATACTTAATCACACAAAGTTAAGTGCTGTTAAGTAGATTATTTGCTTATTTTTTCTTTGGAAACATTTTGGTAACTTTTATGTGAAAATGAATATAAATACAATGGAAATACATTGTTTCAAGGAAATAAAGCTGAGATCATTGCTACCAGATGCCTTGTTCCCTTTACCCAGAATGAGGACTAGTGAAGACATGAATAGACCATCTCCAGGAAGATGGTTAAAGAGGAATATTTGACAACATTGTTCCCTGAGTGCCAGAATGAACTGTATTAGCCTCCAAGATATTTAGGAACTCTGTCCCCGACACCAGTGTGGAGTAGGTTAGAAGGAAAAAAAGTTCATTCCTGGAAGGATTTTCAGTTGAAAGGGCTGCTAATCATCTTTTCTTTTCATGCTGGAATCTGGAATTATTCCCTGTCACTTTCTCAATCTCTCTTTACTCTTGCTCCCTTCTCTCTTTGTCTCCCTCTTGTACTTTGCAAGCTATTCTGCATTAAAGAAAGATGGCCAGAGACTTTCAACTTTGATGAAGAGAGGTGATGTAGTAGAAGCAAAGCCTGCCAGGCCAGTTACTGTATACAGTCTCTCCCTTCAGAAATTCCAGCCACCATTTTTCACACTAGGTAAGATGGAGAAATCGGAAATCATTTGTATTTACCTGTGACTTTATTTTATATTTGGCTACTTTTCTGTAACTTTAATGGATCCCGAGGATATTGGAAATTTTTTTAAATTGGACTTTAAAGAAGGTTAGAATTTGTTAATAACTTTCTGACAACACATATGATAATACCTGTGACTATATAGGGGTTCAGAGTTGTCCTAAATCGTCTGAGTTTCTTATGTTATCTTACTATAAAATTGTAAATAACATACTTTGGATCTCTGTAGAGAAGAGTAGGTAAGGAATACATATTTTCAAGATTTTGTATTTTCTATTTTATTGTCTTATGAATACTTGTTTCTCATTTTGGCTAGTACCTGATAGTTTACACTCAGTTTTTTTATTGACATTTATTTGTCCTTTTAAAACAATGCATTTTCAGTCTGTGAACAAGAAATTCTAAAAGTTGAGTGATTTTTCTTTCTCTTTGTCACCAGCAAATTACTGCTAAAGACCATGAAAATATAGGAATAATGGGTAATGCAGAAATGTATTCCTGGACATGTAGTAAAGTTTAATTCAAGTTAACAATTTGAATTTATCTATAATCCATATTTGAAATAAATTTAAAACCCCAAAAGACTTTTTCTATTGTTTGAAAATTTTATGATCTCCTAGCTAAAGCCCTGAATGTGTAAGAGTTGTGAAGAATCAAAAGCTGTAGTTCTTCTTAATCTTCAGTCTCCCTGAAATTGATCCTGCTCCCTGAAATTGACGCTGCTCTTAATTTCATGGTGCATTCTGAATAGGATGACTTTTAGAAATAATTTCCTAAATCTTTTTTCCTAAACTTTGTTGCTCTTTTTTCTCCTTTTGACATTATTTAGTGTAAGTTCCTGTAGGTTGTGGGTTTTGTACAATTTTTTTAGGAAATCACTCCTTAAGTTTCCTGATTCTAAAATATTAGACAAACAGTGAAACAAATATGCTAAAAAGTATTTTACTATGTTCCATGAAAAAGCAACAGCTGTGTTGGCAAAGCAGATATTATCTATGAAAGTGAAAAAAAAAACAAACCTCAAATTTTTCCAGTTGCATTTGTTCATTGGCGTTTATAGTAGGCCACATTTGACTCTTTTCATCAAAGTCAAATATAGTGCAAGAATGTAGTACACCTCCATTTGGTCCTAGTGCTCATTTTTTTAAATCTCAGCAGTGGCTCCCAACCTTGAGCTGATGGGGGAAAAAAGAAATTAAAATACCCGGGTGGGGAGTTTTGATTAATTCCCTCAAATAACTTTATTTGTATGCTAAGCTAGAAACAGGTGGAATGTAGTCTTTTTGTATGGAAATACAGTTCTTTTCAGGATGTCTTGTGGATGAATAAAAATAATCCAGAGCCTTGCTCTTAACCAATAAACTTGTATTATACTGGCTAAGCTAAGAAGATGTTTAGACATGCAGTCAGTAGTCAGTTCTGGTACACTGTGTAGATTTAAGTTATTTCACGATTTTTTTTAGGAATATTTCCAAAAGGACATTTAAATATACTGAGTCTTCTGTGTAATATATTACCCCAAACATAATTCCTGTCACTGAAAAGGGAATTTTTGTTTGTTTGTTGTATTTTTTGAGTATGCAAATCTGGAAATATTTAAAAAATCTACAGCTTATTATAGCAAGGCTGAGATATCTAACCATTTGAAACCTTTTAAATGAACAAGATGTGCAAATCTGAAAAAAAATTTTTAAGTCTGCAGCTCATGATAGCAAAGCTGAGATTTCTAACTATTTAAAACCTATTAAATGCACAAGGCTGAAGTATTAGAGTGCTATGACTTGCCATGTAATTTAAGACCTGCTCGTGAGTTTCTGCTATTTGCTTTCTCCACACTCTGACTTTTCAGTCTCACACACACATACGCTACTAGATGAATAATTTATGTTTTAGCACATAAATATTTTATCACTCGATTGTTTACATAGTGCATTTTTACATTTGTTTAGGGGCATCATTTCTATGTAAGGTGGATTTCATAGGAACTTAGCAATTTACCATGTCACTGTTAACATTCCAGATGTCGAATGTGGAGGAGGTTTTTATATCAGAAGCTTGGTCAGTGACATTGGCAAAGGTAAGCATAAAGATGAATTACGAATTACCGTTTAGAGAGTAATATTCCTTTTTGATGGGAAAAAGGAATTTTCCGTTTTTCATATCTCTGAGTACTGACTGGCCTTAGGAACTGTGCCAGTAATGAAGACTGTGCTTTCAGCCTTAAAAGCATTCTAGGTTTATGGCAGACAATTAGCAGCATCCACAGCTGCAGTGAAATGCTTATAATGGGAGAGAAGAGAAAAAGAGGAACAGAAAATGAAGATGTGAATAGTGAATCTAAGGACCAGCATTTTTTTTCAAGCATAAAATGTTTTAACTCAAAATAGGTACAAGAAGAAAAGATTACTCCTTTAAAAAATTTTTTTTTTCGTTGCTATACGTCAAATTTTTTAAAACAACCTGGAAGCCATCATCTTACTAACAACCGGGAAGTTGGAGATCTGGCCCTGCCATTGGCTGGCTGTGGTGACATGGGACAGGCCTCATTACCTCATCTGCAAAGTGAGAGCAGTAGTTACTCCGGGGGTTGCTTCATGGGCTACATGAGAAAAGTGAGTGCCACTTCCTTCTAAGCTTTAACCGGTTTATTAGATGAGCGATTAAATATTATTTGGCTACTTAATCATTTCTTAATCTCAAGGCTCCTGGTTATTATTTTGGATTATTACAACTTTACATTTAGGGTCATTTTGAAAGGTTTGAACTGAGTCCCTCAGTCATTTGAAAAATGGTAAGACTATGAAATACTAAATCATTTATCATGCATTTTCTTTTTCCCTTTTGTTGCCACAGAACTCTCTTCCTGTGCCAATGTGCTAGAGCTGACGCGCACCAAACAGGGACCGTTCACCCTGGAGGAGCATGCCCTGCCCGAAGACAGATGGACGATTGATGACATCGCACAGTCTCTCGAGCAGTGCTCATCTCTTCTCCCAGCAGAGCTGGCACTTAAAAAATCAAAACCTGAGGAGTCTAATGAGCAAGTTTTGAGCTGTGAGTACATAACTCTGAATGAGACAAAGGGAGAAGATGATGTAATTAAGACACTTTAAGACTGGCTTGGGATTGTTATCATTTCCTGGTTGACATTTGAATCCTGTGTGCCGAATGACAGGCTACGTGCAAAAGACAAATGATACCTGTGGGTTTTTTTCTTTTTTTGCATGAAGAAAAATGTCCATCATTGACGGTTTCTATGGTACACAATTTATCTGCTGTACATTATAAATAGCCCTGCAGTTGTCCATTTCTTGCTGTACTGTAGAATGTTGTCATGCTGTTAAATCGGATTCAGGAAAAGCAACTTTCTGATTTTGATCTCTCTTAAAAAGTCTTTTCCTATGAAAAAGTTGACCATATTTTCTAATCAGAGGGGGAAAACAATGAGCTACATGTTTCTTTGGTGTCATGAAGTGAATGTATATTTGTTTCTTTGACTTTATTTTGGCTTCCTGGTGGCTCTGGTTATTGAAACTCCTTAACTATGTTTGAAAAAGCCATTATTTAGCTCTTACGTCTTAGAGAGTTTATGATTATTAAGAACATTTCTTTAATAATGTTATACTTATCTTGGTAATAGCTGTGTTTGTTTAGATCTTGGAAACTAATAAACTTTTATAATAAATATTTGTAACTGAACCAAATTATTGCTGCTACCACTAATGGAATGTAAAGAGAAGACTAAATGTTTAAATAAATTCACCTCTACTCTACCATTAGCATAGGACAGCTCCTATGGTTTATGTTTTGGCAGCTATGAGATGTTTTCCTGGTAATCAGTACAGTCGACCACCCCGTGCCAATATACTGAATAACCTAATTTTTAAAAATTAAGCTAAAGAATGTGTCTTCAATTAAAAACTTTTCTTTATTTTTTAGTTTTTATTTACACCTCTTTCTAGGGTATCAAGCCCCTGGTATTTTGTTTGCAGTTTGCTTTTTCAAGTGATGTTTACAAACTTTGAGGCTTGCCCTGTATTTGCAGTTAATCCCATTTCTTGAAATGTTGAGAAACAGTTGTTCTCGAACATTTTCATTCAAATGGCCTACTGACTGGTCCAAGTCCCTCTTTACCATAGTTTTGAAAACAGTCACATTCCAAAAGAGTAAATTTCGTGTGTAATGAGTGCTTCATATTTTTGTTATGGGAAAGCAATATATAATGCAGCCAGTCTGTTCAAATCCCACTGCATTTATTCAAATAAATATAATTTCAAAGGGAAGAATTGTTAAATTTTCATCAAATAAGAATTTTTAGATTTTTATGTATTGTCTTTCTTGCAAAGGTAGTTGTTACGCAACCTCCAACCTCTAAATTTTAAATATGTACAGAAAAATGGTCGTATTTGTGGTGAACATAACATAAACTCAGTCTAAGAAGTTACATGCTTCAGTAGAGCACTTTCAGTGTATTGTCAACATTTTTAGAACGAAAATGTTAGAACTTTCTTAAGTGACACAGAAAATTGTAAGGAAAAGAGCTAGTTATCATAATGCCTTAAATAAAACTTCAGACATACAAAGTGGTAAGTTGAAACTTTTACCAGTTTGTGGCTAGTGGCCTGCAGTTTGTGTTGCCAAAGCTGGCAGTGGCTGCCTCTTCCTGTTGGAATGGGACAGGGTCCAGTACGCCTTCACACGCTGCCTGATGAGGGATGGAAAGCGCCTGAGGCATCTTGGCTCTGTTCCTCAACTTACATTTTGGCGTGTATAATTTGCTAATGGTAAAGAGTGTAAATGTTTTGAAAAGACAAGTGACTTTCTGGAATGGTAGCCGATCCTTTTCTTTTATTGAAAACACTGAAGAAAATTTTGCCGAATGGAAAAATTACCCATAATCCTCACCACCCTGATACAGTGACTTCAGAACATTCATTTTGTATTACTCTTTTTTTAACTATTTTTTAATTTCATATTATTTGACTATTTGTATTTAGTTTTGATAATGATTATTTAATCTTTTTACTTGAGTTTATTTAAACCATTTCCCTATTGCCAAATTCTTAGGTTATTTTCAGTTTTATTAGGATAAGTTCCTGGAAGTGGAATTATTAAATGAAGTAATATAAACAGTTTTATGGTTCTTAATAAGTTTGCCTTATTGCTTTCCCAGAGAGTTGTAACATTTTACAGTGTTACCATTTGAGTATATCAGTTCACCAGAAGTTTACAGCTTTGGGTGGGGGGGTTTATATGTTACTGTTGCTAATTTAGTAAGTTATAAGAGTTCAAAATTGCTGATTTACCTTTGTGTGACTTTTTCATATACTTTGTCACTTATATAAATAAATGTCTTAATGGTTTCTTTATACATTTGTGTGAGTTATTTGCGCAGTAAATACTTGGTAGAAGTATTTTCATGGTCTGTTGTCTTTTTTATTTTAGTTTCATTTTTCATTTTTACTGACTAAATTTGCTAATTTTAAGAATTCTTTTATAGTTGCCAGATTTATGAGTATGAAGAGTTAAAATTTATTAAAAATTAAAAACATTATTAACTTTCATAAGCAGCTGTAACTGATCAAGATGCTCTAAAAAGTTTGACTCATCCATAAAACAAATTAGTTTTCTCCTGAGTCTGGTATTTAAGTACCAATTGCTTTGTTTTTTTCACTTTAGTCAAAATATTAAAGAAATATCTGTGCCTGTGTATTTCATGTCATAATAAAGTTGTCTTATTTGTAAGAAAACATGTGTTAGAAATTTCTGAAAATGCGTCCACCTGGAATATACAGATCATTTCATTTTGACATTTAATTTTTTTATATTTCTGGAAAATATTGTCTGAAAAGTCAACAGACTTGGCCATAGAATTATTTTATTATAATTTTAAGATCCGTGATCATTAAAATAATATTATTTTTCTCTGATAATTCAAAATTATAAAATTTGAATAAGAATTAAACTTAACACTTTCCTTTCCTAACTAGATCTTTTCTTCTTTAATACTTGAATTAATACCTATTCCAGATCCACCATCAGAAATTATTCATTGTACTACATAAGAAAAGAATGCTTTATATCAGGTCTTTAGTACATTTTCTGTCTCTCTGACCAGTTTGAAATTTGTATCAGACTTACCGTGGGCATTTAGAGATTTAATTAGCTCTGTTTCAAAGGAAGAAAGTAATTTACCTTATATGTTGATGCATATAACAGAAAAATTGTAATTCAAAAGCACTCTAAAATGTTGAAACATTTAAATAGAGGAATATGAAAAATATAAGTTTTATGGGTTGAAATGATTATAATGGTCTTGTAGTTAAATTGAAATAGGAAATTTATCTTGAAAGTATTTCTTTAAGGCATATGTAGGCAGCAGTAGCCTGGCCTAATCATTTATTGAGTATCACTTGTTAAACACTTACTGCATGCACTTGAATCCATAATCTCTTCATAGTTTCAACTTGAGTTAAATTCTCTTTGTGAAAAGTAATATCTCATATTGCTATTATAAATGATGATACCAGTAGGAAAGTTGAAGTCAGAAATTACTATTTTGTTCCTCTTATCTGTAAGTAAACCTTAAACTGTAACATATTAAGATTATTTCCATCTCTACTATTAGCTTTTTGATTGAGGCAAATCACTTAATCTTTTTAGGCCTTAGTATTCTTATCTTTAAAACAAAGGAGACAGCTAGTCTATCTTTAAGAATTTTTGCAGCACTAACATAGGCTTCTAAGTATAGATGATTTGTGTTTATTCTGTTCAGAGCACATTCTTTTTGAGCCTGAACTTTCATGTTGTTCATCAATTTTGGAAAGTTCTCATCCTTTGTCTCTTTGAATATCACATCTGTTCCATCTAGCAGTCCTGTTAGATTTATGTCTTTCCATTTTATTCTGTGTCTAATTACTATCATATTTTCCAGCTCTTTATCTCAGTGCTTCTTCTTAGAGAATTTACAATTTTAATTTACTGTTTTGTTTTAATTTACTGTTTTAATTTACTGTTTACCTGTATATTTATTTCAAAATTACTGTGACTTTTTAAGGTTTATAGAATATCAACTTTTTTTCAGAATCCCTATTTTGGTGTGTGTTGTCATATTCTTTCATCAGGTGTTTAGTTTAAGTATATGTCATATATTTATATAGGTATCAGTAAAAGTTAATATATGTATATTTATAATTTTTACAGATATTTAATATCCATATAAAAAATTGCATGTATCATAAATGTATCACCCAATAAATTTTCATAAAGCAAACCTGTGTAACCAACAACTAAATTAAAATAACAGAAGGTTACTAATTCACTGGAGGTCCTCCAGAGAGTTCTTTCTGGTCACTAGCCCTCTAACCCCACCCCACTGCCAAGGGTAACCACATCTAACATTACAGATTGTTATTTTGTTTGCTTTTGTGTTTTATATAAATAAAGTGAACAGTGTATACTCTTTTATGTCTGGCTTTTGCTCACAATTACATTTGTGAGGTTCTTCCATCGTCTTATACAGTCATAAATCTTTCTCATTATTGTTTAGTATTCCATTGTGTGACTATACCTACATTTATCCATTTTTCTGAATGATGGGCACTTGATTAGCTTTCAGATTTGAATATTTTTAGTATTCCATTATATCTCCCTATTGTTAATATTACCTCTTTAAAATTTTTTTATGTTTATGATACATGTCCTTATCACAGATTACCTTCAAGTAGTATTATAACACCTCATACATATGGTAGAAATCTTACAAGAGTACATTTCCATATCTTCTATATTTTGGGCTATTTTCATACTTTTACATATATTATAAACTTTATAATATATTGGGTTTTTAAAATTGTTCTTTATCTTTACTTTGGTGCTTTAGACCAGGGATGACAGCTCTTGACACTACACATAAATGAATGGATGTAGTTACGTTTCAATAAAACTATATTTACCTTCATATTGTAACTTGCTGACCCCTGACTGTTAGTTATCTTCTAAACACTTCTAAATCTAAAAAGGTTTTTAAAACTTTTATATTTATCTACATCCTGGTGTTTTTCATTTTTTAATGCAGATCTAAATTTCTATCTGGTATCATACTCCTTTCTGA